CACATACTGGTGCTTTTCAAAAGATAGCAATTTAAAAGGGTGGTAGCAGCAGGCATTTGATATCTTTTTTTAAGAACTTTCAAGCTGCAGGAGAAACATGTGATCAAGTGTTATGATTATCCATTAGAGACTTTCATCAATATCTGTACCAATTTAGGTAACAATACAGCAAGATCCAAGGATTAGTGATGACAATGTACATGTCATAAGGACTGATATATAGTACCAATCCTTATAAGTCATTGCCTCAAAGACACTGTTAAGTGTTCAAAATATATCTAAATAATTCACATTAAGTACAGAAGTGGCCCATTCAGATTATTTCCCATTATGCTGCATATTTTTCAGAAAGTGCCAATCAAAGCCTAATTTGCATTTTGGCTTTGTCTTACAGTTATCAGTTGTTAAAAAGCAATTTCACGTGTTTTTAATCACAGTCTTTGTCCAGATAAACAGTGCTGTGTCCAAGCTGGTGGCCAGCCTTCCATGTGTGATTAAGGGCCCATGCATAATTTGGTACACCTCTAAACATTTAGTGCTCCAATTTAACTGGAAAAGCTGTGAAATGCAGTTGTTTTGCCAAACCACACTCCACTCCTTCCATCTTCCTCTCAAGAAAAATTATTTGTCAATTGCCACTGAAAAGCTCTAGGGCTGACTTGTAGATTGTACCCAACGTCCAAGAGTCAGACTTGCTTTTGTTCAAGCCACTTCAAATAACTATGGAGATATTATCACCCCATAAAGTATGTTATGTTTTACTCCTAAGCAAGGGTGAGGAATCTGAGTATCATGTGCAAGGCTCAAGATGACGCTTAGGACAGAACATGCAGAGTAAAAATAGTTTCCTTCCATATCCAGGTAGTATAAAGCTGACAACTGTAGTCCTGTCTTTATGGGATGAAAACAGTCCCTTTACAAATTTCCTGAAAGGGAGAACAAATAGATATAATAACTCTTCTGGTAACATATTATGGTACACTGGCCAGTGTGTTTTTGGCGATTAAACATAATCCTGTGAATCAGATTAATTCACTTGCTGAGTGTTCATTTGCGGCATTCCTCTGTTGGGTCTTGGGGGCCCTCCACGACCTAGAAGACAAAAATGGCATTTGATTTTTCTTTCAAATACTGTTTGTTTTGCCTTCAAGCAGATTTTCATCTGAAGTCAAGAAGCATGTGGATAGAGCTTGTCATATTATTAGGTTTAAGAGGCCAATTCTTCAGTGTTCAAGTTTCACCCTTCCTGGAAGTTGTCATGCGTCAATTTGCTCATGTTCTCTAGTTAAAAGAAGAGTAGAGCTAATGGAGTATTCCACCAGTACTCATTCATTCATTCATTCAACAAGTATTTATTGAGTGCCTACTATGTGCCAGGCACTGTCATCAGGCGTTGGGAATAGATACAGCAGCGAAGACAGACAAGGTACCTGCTCTCACGGAGCTCACATTCTAGTGTACACTCTAGCTTACATTTCAGTAGTAAGTAACATCATTCTATCAAAATTAATAAAAGCACCAGAATGAAAACAGACCTTATTACCTAAACTGTAAAAACTAAACCACATAACATTCAAACTTTTATAATGACTTATAACAGATAAAATAACTTTTTACATGCTGTTAAAACAGATTTTAGCTACCAGTTAACTTAACTTTTGTGTAGACTATGCTACAAGGTGAGAGAGAACATAACCCATTCACATGCAAATAGCTTTTGACACTTGTGGTCAAGTCAGTAATTTTCAAGTGATCCATTAATTAAAAAAAAAAAAAAAAAAAAATGCACCTTTTTGCTGGCCAGATGCTACTAGCATTTAAATCAAAGTACTTTGTAATTGCTCAATATACATTTTATACATGTTATGGCCAATAAGTAGAGGAAACGTATTCAATGTTTTAACCTCCTTCAAATCAGAGAACCATTTAGAACATCAGATTACATAAAATGGTAGCTCTAATTGTTAAACAAGTTAACTTCCTGACCAAGTCGCAAGGAGTTTTCCAACAATAAAAAACAAAAGGGAATTCTTTAAATCTGTAGTTTTTAAATATAGTTTAAATATAGAAAGAATTTTGGGGATTTTGTTTAAAAATCAGAAATAATGTGATATTTAGATAACTTAATAGTGGCCCAAAAGGCATTATAATTTCAATTAGTTCTACTATTTCTAACTGGTTCTCTAAGTGTGACTATGGCTTATCTGGCCATTCAAGGATTACTAGTCCTAAAATATAATATGCATGTTTCAAAAATGAATGAGGAATAATAAATTTATATAAATGTTCAATCTCACTCCAAAAATGTCTTACAAAAATGTTTCAGTAAGTACTTCCTAAAAACATTTAGCAGGTTTTAGGACCTGAAAAATAATTTCTAGTTGGAAAAACACTTTTTCTGAAGAAGAGAAAATGTTCTGGTTTTCAAGACAAGTTTATATAGTAACAGGGAAAGTCATTCAAAAATTAAAATTTTGATTTAAGATTAAGTTTCAGAAACAGAGCATTTCATTTAATCCCTAGCAACAAGTCTGGCAAAGATCAGCATATTCCTAACATGTAACCTACAAGCAGACTACGAACAGCTCTTCCAAGGCCAGAACAGATCCAGCTAGGATCACCACCACAAAATATTACCTCGTGGGGCTCCCCGTGGTCCACTCTGCCCAGAGCCTCGCTTGAAATTCTGCTGATATCCATCCTAAAAGACAAGCTAGTTAGTACCGTAAACAAGAAAGGGCAATTTTAATAAAATGCTTACCCCTCTTTCTTAGAGTTCAACACTTGGAGAATACAGAGCTCCTTTTTCTTTTAGACACTTCAAAAACCTATTCTATGGTTCCATTTCTATTATACCCAAGAACATTTAATGAGATTAATTTTCCTGCTCTTGAAAATCATTGTTTTTAATAGTTTCCCAATTATCTATATTGATGACAAAGGAAAGCAAGAGCCATCATGCTCTGACAGAACAGATGGACATGAGAGCACCCCAAATCACTTCATTCCTGAAGCCAACTGGCATTTACCTACCCGCTGGTAGCCAGAGTAGTCCCGGGGAGCACTGAACTGAGACTGTGTATAACCACTGCTGGGAGTGTTAGAGAATGAAGGGCGGTAACCATCATAGCCTCCTGAAATTTAGGACAAGAAAATAGTAACTTTCTGCTCTTCACAAAGAATTTTTTAATTTCTTATTAATGAGAAAGGGGAGGACTAGAAAAACTGTAAGCCATACTACTTAATATGCTACTAATTCTGTTTATTTTCTAATCTGTTTATAAATATCTTAACTGCCATCCACACCTATAAATACACACATATACACAACAATGACAACAAAAAGGCAAAAATCCCATAAAGTCTAATACTCAAAAAACTATTACTCAGAAGTTTGATAATGATTTTGAAGGAAAAAAAAAACTGCCCATTTTTATCATTAAATATACCTAAATATCCTTTAAAATTTGAGACAGGGTTTCACTATGTAGTTCAGGGCAGCTTTCAATTCACTATGTAGTACAAGCTGGCCCTGAACTCATGGCACTCCCCCTGCCTCAGCCAAGTGCTGGGAGTACCATCATACCTCGCCTGAAGTGTTTAAACTCTACATAAGCAAAGCAGAGAAACACATCCTTCCTTAAAACCATGACATAGTTCTACCTATTTTAAAAAGCAGCAAACAACTTGAAACAAGCTTACCTCTGAATCCATTGGCAGGGCCCCGGTATCCATTCATCAAGCCTCTAGCGCCCCTGGAACCTCCACGGGACACACCACGACTATTATAGTAAGGCTGACTGCTCCGAGGAAACCCAGTATTCTGCTGAGGAGGCTGCTGGTGGTTGCCCGTCACTTGATGAGGCTGGTCCTGGGAACCATGGTAAGTGCCAACCACTGTAAGAATAAAGCACAAACATCATACATGTGTGCACCTGTAGGCGACAGCTTGGCGCCATTTGTTTTCCCCACATGTTTTCTAGTTTAAGGAGTATCTCCTATAGTCTCAAAATTTAATTATCTCTAAGTAAATTTACATACTAACAATAGGAAAACTATATACTAAAGTCTTTTTTTTCCTACTCATAAATTAAGCCAAGAAAGGTACAATTCCCAATAATTCTAATTATTTATTTATTTAGTCTCGCTATGCAGCTCAGACTCATAGTGATCCTCTGTCTCAGCCTCCCCAACGGTAGGATTACTGGCATGCACCACCATGTCCAGTTTCAGCTGCCTATTGGGCCTGCAATACTGGGAAAGCGAACCCGCGTCCTTGTGCTTGCCAGGCAGGTACTTAAACCACCCAGCTATCTCCCAGCCCTCTTCACAATAATTCTAAATTCTTTGACAGCACAGTACACAATTCCATGTTTCTAAGCCAATGATTTTAAAAGAATATATATCTTAGGGACCGGGGAGATGGCTCAGTAGAATAAGTACTTCCCTGGCAAGTGCAAGGGCCTGAGTTCAATCCCTGGTTCTGCCAAAAAAAAAAAAAAAGAATATCTATCTGTATCTACCTATCTTCCACATATACATTTGAGTGGAAGGGAGGGGTCTCACTATAGAGCAAGCTGACCCTGAACTGACTACAGCCCACGCTGGCCTCAACTTGGGATGATCCTCCTGCCTCAGTCTTCTGAACGCTGGGATTACAGAAGCATACACCATCCCCAAAGAGGACTATATGCTACTAATATCTGAAAGGCATCTACCTTTTAGCACAAGGGACCCACAATAAGTCAAGAGACACGCTGAAACAGTGCAATTACCATTTTGTACCATTTAATTACTTTTTATTATAAAAATCCTTAAGTATTAATTTATCTTAAATTCCCCTTAGTACTTAGTGTAACATAAATCACAGACTCATAGATAAGAAATTATAGGACAGATCATGCCATCAATTACAATGCTATGTCAACAGAAGCCTTCCAATTTAAACTTAATGCCTGACTTCATTTCTAGTCTTCGAAATGACAAGCATGGCCAGTTGAAGACAGTTAAAATGGCATTCAATCCAGTTCAGAGTAAAGTGTACCTATAGAAGGCTCACATTACTTTGAATATATAGTTACCAAAATAGGAATAATAATGCAACACAGAAACTTTCAGCCACTGAATACCATGGTACATTTCTAGTATTAACTACAATTGCTATAATTCACAAGACAGGCAAAACAAAGTTTTCTTAAGTATCTTCAGAAGTCAAGGAAATGTAACAGAACAAAAGCCTTCACCCAAGGCTTTGAGCAGTGGCTAGATTACCCACACACCTGCCTCACACACACATTAGGACACAAAGCAAAAAATCGTGACTCTTCAAAACTCTACACCTGACCTACTTTACAGCCTAAAACCTTGGTGTTTTCCAATAAAAAAAACCTAAAGAATGTATAGGGACAGATCATGGATCCTCTGAACTTACTGACCAACTATACCACTCATAGTGTAATGTTTCTACAGATTAACTTTGATTACATCCCTCAAATTTAAAAGGAAAATATGGTCTTTACTTAAAATATATGAGAATTCCTTATTGTTTATGAAAGTATAAACTTATAGTCTATGAAGAAAGCCACGAATCTATGTGAGATCCTTTCCATGTTATTTCTGATTAGATACAAACTCAAAGCAGTATGTCTGGAATAATTACGATACATTGATTTGTTCAACAAATATCAGATTGCCAACAACATACCAAGCTTGTTCCTAGACACATGGGATATGTCAGTTGGCAACACAGGCTTGGACAGATACCTTTGCTCTAATGAGATAATTAAGTAAAATGAAAGTCACCAAGAGCGAGTTGTATTTGGGAAGAGTAATGAGAAGAGGTCCCTGAGAGGTGATATTGGAACATGGACATCAAAAATAAGCAGCAAGCGGTGTAGAACTAAGCAGGAAAAAAAAAAGAACTAAGGAGATTTATACAAAGTGGTGCCAGACTCCTCATAATTTATTGAGAGATTTTGTTTCTGTTCTTTTTAACAATACAGGAAATAATACACTGTTAGCTCACTTCAGTCATTCCACAATGTATATAAATTTCAAATTAATTCATACATGGTAAGTATATACAGATTTGTCAATTAAAAATATATTGGCTGGGGGGCCTGGCCCTAGCTCAGTCCTTTAAGTGGCTGCCTCCACAAAGCTGTCAGCCTCAGGTTGCTAGAGTTCGAACCTCACAACTCTCCCGCTGGCCAAAAGTGCCCTGAAGGCATTCGAGGAACAAAAAAAAAAAAAAAAAAAAACCAAATTTTTTATTCCAAAAATATATTGGCTGGGCATGGTGGTGCAGGCGTATAATCCCAGCACTGGGAAGGCTGAGGCAGAAATTCAAGCTCAGCCTCAACTACATAGTAAGACCATACCTCAAAAACCAAAAAATTAACAAAGTCTACCAACACTGTCCAAAGGTGCCAAATGTACTTGTTCCACAACTAATTTCTGAATACACAGCAATAAACTAGTCAAAGAATCTGTTTCATCATTCAACAGAACTGTAGCATATCTATCACACTATAACTAATTCAACCTCCACATTCAGTAAAGGTACTGGGCACTACAGTGATATGTAAGAATTCCCTACTGAAAAATCTGTAGTGCTAAGCCACGTGTGTCAAGAAATGGAACAATTAGAAAATGCCACATATTTAAAACCAGTCTGGTAGAATTAAAAAATTAACTCCTATGATTTCCACAGGACTTGTGAGTTTGTTGGTGGGGTTCCAATTAATGCCAAAGAATTAACCAGAGACCTAAAAATGATACTTCATGCCTTATAAAATATAAGGCTGGGGGCTGGGGAGATGGCTCAGTGGTATAAGCGCTTCCCTGGCAAGCACAAGGGCCTGAGTTCAATCCCTGGTTCCACAAAAAAAAAAAAGGCTATAATATCTCTAACAACACTACTATGGTGACAGGTATAGAATGTACCCAAATTATGAGCTTATTTGTCAAAGATTTTGTTTGAACTTACTCCACAAAATAACATAAGTCACCAACCAGTAACTGTAAGGGAAACCTTTACTACAACTTAGTATAGCAAAAAGCAAAGAAACCCTGTTTCTCAACTTCATGTAACTGACTTATTGCTAGCTATCACGCTAGAAAGCTCTAAGCCATCAGCAAATAAAAGTTCATCACAATGGAAGTAACAAACTTAACAAACTTAATTCCAATTAAATCATACAATAAAACATGTATATTATAAAAGTTCAATGACCAAAACTAAAAAACAACAAAAAGAGTAAGGCCTCCAAAAGAACAATATGATCTTAATTTAACCTATAATTCACAATGCAAAGGTTTCCACAGCCTACTATAACAAAGCTGTTGCCTCACCCCCTGGTGACACTGTTGGGAGAGAAAGCAGGCAAAAATGACACTGGCTCCTACCTGTTTGCAGCTGTTCTTGCTGGAGCTCGGTCTGTTCCACTTGGTGGGGCTGACTGGGAAAGCTCTGGTTATAACTGGACTGGTACTGGTTTGGCTGCTTTAAAGTCTCTGGTTCATTAACAGGAGGAACTGGGGCATTCATATTGAATACCTGGGAGGGAATGAAGTGAACGATCAGCGCCTCCCTTCACTCCCTGCTTTCATCACGGCAGATCTCAATGCTGCCTTTCCCACAAACGTAAATGAAAAATCACAGAAGTCTCAAACATATATGTGTCACAATAAAAGGCACAACAAGAAAAATATTCAGCGCAAATCAATGTAAGACAAATGCAAACTTCTGTTGCAGTACCACTTGTAGAAATTTAATCTATGAACCAAGTTGAAAAATTGATGCCTTTATTTCATTTTTGATATTTTAAGAAATTAACGGGGCTGGGGAAGATAGCTCAGTAGAATAAGCACCTGCCTGGCAAGCGCAGAGCCCTGAGTTCAATTCCCAGTACCACAAAAAAAAAAAAGAAGAGGAAAAAGAAATTAACTCTAATTATTCCTGTGAGCAGTGACTTTGCTATGTCCCACAGGTAAATTTCCATTTTTTCTTCATTCAAGGCGGGGGTCCCACTCGGCAATTCAAGCGGACCACTAATTAGCCCAGAATGGCCTAGAATTTGTAGCAGCCTTTCCTCAGTCTCCCAGATGCTTGGATTACAAGTGTTGTACCACCATAACAGCTCTAATTGTATTATTTTCTAGAAATTCTCTAACTTAAAGATA